CCCGGTGGAAGCCTCTCCGAACAGCTTTACGCGAAGTACGCTTATGTCTGCCGATCCGAGCTTAGACACTGCACTAACATGTAAGTGAAATTCACTCTCCTTTCCTACGCAAAAGCAGTATTTCGACCCAGACGTCCAGCCCCGTACGCTTCATCAACACTCATGGGACAGGAGATTGAACGACTTTAGCGGGCTGGTTTAATCGCGCAAATCATTTTCTCACCATGGGCTGCTCCCATTGTTGTGATCAAGAAACCCAACGGTACTATTCGCTTGTGTGCCGACTTCTCAACTGGGTTAAATGTCGCATTGGAACCTCATCAATACCCGCTTGCACTCCCCGAGGACGTGTTTGCGAAGCTGAATGGAGAAAAGTACTTTGCTACCCTTGCTTTCGCGGATACTTAACTGAAAGTTGAGCCAAAAGGCAGGAAGGTTCTTACGATAAACACGCATCGCGGGCTCTATTCATACAATCGACTGCCGTTTGGAGTCGAAACGGCACCTGCAGTTTCTCAGAAAGTTACGGACATCATGCTAATTGGTGTACCTGGGATCACAGTCTATGACATTGTCATAATTGGCCGAACGCAAAATGAACTGCTTCAGCAATTGGATGAGGTGATGCTGAGAATTAAAGATTACGGTTTTCATTTAGGCACGGATAAATGTAAATTTTTACTTAAGTCCATTAAGTTTCTGGGCTTTGTGACTGGTCAGCACGGCCGATAACCAGATCCAGATAATATCAAGGCGATAGCTCGGTTAACTGCACCAACGGATATCACAACATTGAGCTCGTTACTAGGAATGGTGAGCCACTATAACGAATTTTTGCCGTAAATGCATCTCTTACGTCATCCATCGAATCCGTTTCTGATGAAGGACGCTGAATGGAAGTGATCCAACCAGTACCAGCAATCATTCGAAAAGTTGAAGTCGCTACTGAAGTCGGATCTACTGCTTACTCACTGTGACCCGAGGCTGGAAATTGTCTTGGCCACGGATGCTTCCAGCTATGGAATTGGGACCGTCATTTTCCACCATTTTTCGGACGGTTCAGAGAAAGCTGTTGCACACGCTGCATAAGCTCTTGTGGCATCTGAAAAGAATTATAGTCAGATTGAGAAGGAAATATTGGCTCTCCTCTTCGCTGTTCAGAAATTTCACGAACTGCTGTACGGATGACGCTTCACACTGCTAACGGACCATATATCACTTTTCGCAATTTTCAAGTCAAAGAATAGTATCCCGGCATACAGAGCCAGTCGATTACAGCAATGGGCAAGGTTGCTCTTGGGTCATGATTTCATCATGGAATATTTGTCGACTGATTTTATCGGACAAACAGACGCTTTATCAAGACCAATCGATATCGGCAGACGCGAACCCGAAGACGCAGTCATTGCTGCAACCACTGCTGAAACAGATGCCAATTATATGGTGCATGATGCCGTGAACACCTTACTGGTCAATACCAAGATGGTTCAAGATGCCACAACACGGGATCCGCTGCTACAAGAACTCCCAGCCTACATCAGACATGGCTGGTCAAAGAAATGTCCAAAAGAAGAACTTGTCCAATTTCACACGCGACGCGCTTTGTCACGAATTGACTCCTGCCTGTTCATCGCCTTTCGCATCATCTTACCTGAATTCCTGCAGAAACGCGTCTTAAGACAACTCCACAAAAGTCATCCAGGAGTTGCCCGAATGAAGGCATTGGCTCGGAACTACGTCTTTTGACAGAAACTTGACAACCAGCTCGAGGACATTGGTCGTACTTGTTCAACAGGTGCATATGCTTACAAGCTGCCCGTATGCAAAACACTGCATTCTTGGCCCATACCGGAATCATATTGGTCACAGATCCATGTGGATTTTGCGGGACCGGTTGAAGGAGTTTCGTTCCCTATACTTGTTGATGCCTATAACAAGTGATCATGATGCAGAATACGTCAGTAATCATTACACTACACGCATTGAGACGCATTTTCAACCAGCATGGCCTACCAAAAATCATTGTGTTGGATAACGGACCACGATTCACGTCGTATCAGTTTGCTGGTCTTTCGCATGCAATAGAATCAAACACCTGAGGACTGCGCCATATCGCTCGCAATCTAATGGAGCGATTTTTGGATACCATGAAATGAGCGTTGTTGCAATCAAAGTGGGCAAGGTCGCTAGAAGAAAGACTAGAGACATTCTTACCGAATTATCGAGTTGCTCCGAATGCAAATGCACGGGATTGGAAGTCGCCTGCCGAAGACTAAGAACAACTTTGGACTTACTAACCTCAAACGCCAACCGATGCGTCGTACGAATACCGTAGTGGAAACCCAGTACAATAGGCGGCATGGAGCGCGGCGCAGGGATTTTGAAATCGGAGCCCAGGTGTTTGTCGTCTCTCAGCAAGCGAACAGGATCAAATGGATACCTGGAGCCATCGTACACCGCCGTGGTCGGATGATATATGAGATCCGCTTCGGTACGCAGGTGTGGATCTACCATGCCAATAAACTGAGGTCGCGCTACATAAGGAACACAGTAACATCTTACAACAACGAACTTGATTTTACTGAAATACTGGACAATGGTAAACCGATGGATTTTGCCGGACAATGCATAAAGCCTTTGGAAAAACCGGGAAACGGAACACAGTGAAAGCCGAAAAAGAGAAGACGATTTGTTCAGCCATTCCAAGTGGACCGCCGACGGAAAAGCTACGCATCACTCAGGTAACTAACTTTTAAGAAGAGGGAGGTGTTAGAGGAGCAATGAAAATACTGGTATGCTTGTGCATCCGTTCATTACTGCAGACTTTCCTGTCGCTATATTGGTTCACTGATGTTTGTTTTAACGCATCATTTCGTTATCCCTATTGACTATTTGGAGTCGTTGCTTTTGCCTTAAGGTCGCAGTCATACTCTGACGCTATCACTACGTTCTTTGTGTGCACCTGATTGGTTCCTCATTTGTTCAGTTCTTATTGGCTTTAATTGTCCGCACGCTTTCCGTACTCTGGTTGGCTTTCACGCTTGTGCGTTATGCTATATAACGAAGTGGTTTCCCTAAGCAAAAAAACCCTTGAATCTTTGACCCTGGTCATTCATGTTCTCACTACCGTTAGTGGGTGAAAGCAGTCGCGAGGATGCCTACACAACAGTTTCTACAACATTGTTGCAGTTGCAGCAGACCTGCTCTTTCCGGCTTGATCAGGATTTCACAATCATGTTACACACTCACAACCAGAGAAGGAAACTTGTCTAAGGCGACCACTCAAGTGACCGAAAAAATGATCGTCCTGGATAGGTTTATACATAGGGACACTACTCATAGAAGAAAACGTTGGGGATGTTTTCGGCTGGTCGCCATAGCATGTTGGACTGTATCAGATTTTAAGGAGAAAAGTAACCAAAGGCTCAATTTAGTAGTACAGCCACTCGTAGAATCGGCATGTTTCATATCAATGCAAGAATGGCCGACAGATCGTACGATCAAAGTGAACGACTGCACAGTCGAGGGCAGATAACTGCAAAAAGTTACCAAAAGAATTTTCGGAATCTTACGTAGTTGCATGCATTCGAACAGCAGAGATTTGATAAACGTTCTCTATTCGGAAAGAAGAAGTGGTTATATTTTTACATTATGAATATGACGAAGAGAATTACGGAAAAATGCATCGCTTTGGTCATTTTAAGAAAGGAATTACGCAGATGGTTTTTGTCCCCATCTCGATAGATCATTGTTGCTCTTAATCTCAGATCAGAAGACAGTCAGTGGGAATTAATTTTGAGTCGGCATTAATGAGTAGGATCTGAAGGCGATTGAATCAGTTCAGCTTTCAAGATCCACATTCCGCTCCTTCACCCATTGCAACACGCTTCTAATCGACGTTCTCCAGCATACCATATAATCTGGCCTTTCTTTATGCAATTTCACATCGCTGTTAATTGGCTGATAAATCCTTTTTTGAACATGCAAAAATATACATCTTATCTCTTTAGCCAGCTTGTCCTATGTGGAGCCCTATCTAGGAAAGTAGAACTTTTCCCTTAGTCTAGTCCTGAATCTAGACAATGTTATGCATTCGCTATCTCATATCACATAATCTGTATTTCCCTGCAATCGCAGCACACAAGTTCTATTATATACCTTCTACCACACAAGAACACTACCCCCACCATCATCATAGACAACGACGCGAAATGTTTAGTTACATTCGGTTCTTGCTCATCTGCAAGGTCCCTACACTGTAGCAGGGCGCATTATCCACCAACTATCTCGTCTGCTCTCCACCCAACCGAGTAGCGAGAGTCCTCAACCGCTGGTTTGTCGGATTTCCTTTTGATCCCTCGCTTCCAAACCAAGAACTGTGACGAACGAATAAACTTCCTACTTTTTCTGCTACGAATGGGTTTTCTTCAAATTCCTATACCTTACAACTCTTAAATATCACCATATAACCAAGTGGACTATAGTGTTCTTTCACATATACTCTCTTTTGTCACTTTAATTGCACCATGCGAGATGTCGCATGTTCCGTTTTTAGAACGGGTGCTCAACATGTAACGACTTCAGTTTTTCAGACAGTGGAAATTAATTTTATCCTCTGACAAGAACCACCCCATATAACTCTTCTAAGCGAAATCGCCCCTCATTCGCTACGCGTTCGAACAGCGTTGAAATTATCGCCGGTATTTATTTTCTTATTAGACCTCAGCGTCACTGTTCTTTTCAACTGTTTCGTTGTAGGTAGGCTTATCACGTGAAAATTCCATGTATTGGGCATGTGTTGTTCAACCTTAGATTTGGCTGCGCTAAAAATTCCAACTAATGCTAGTTTCCGCATAGGAGATTATCATCCCCAAACTTGTTCCAATCATTTGATGTTATGCATCGTTCACTACTTTCATCCCACAATGAGTTAACCCCTAACCTCAGCTTTGGTTCTATCTCCTTCCCTCCCCTCACGTTGTGTGTTGTATCCACCTTAGGGTCAAATACTGTTCAATCGGCATTTAAAGGATATCACTGTGCAACTGGCTTCTTTGTTTTTGGCCATCAGTCGCCGGCTCGGTCTACCGCAACCTCCATCTCCAGAATGGAACGCATCGCCCGCATTTCGATCCGCTTCGTTCACGCCAGAGAAAGTGTATCAGGTTCCGCCGGAATCCACTTTTCAATCGGATCTGGATGACTTTCTAGGTCCAATCGGACCGCAGCACGATTCACCTCGATTCAGTGGAAATTACACTAGCCCCGGTGGTTCGGCTCGTTTGGCTGTTGTCTCGTCCATGGGAGACGCGGAATCGACAATCGACCCATTTTGGTTACATCCATCCCTTCCTTGGGATGTTCCCATGCCCTCTGATGCAGCTTTCAGTACTGGTAAGGAAACCGACGGGTTCATTCTTCCTTATATAACTACTAGTATGTATTAATAATCCAGTGTTCATTCTAGGTACCTTCTAGATGAGCGGCGCAAATGGCGGTATACTTGTTTAGGTTTTTATAACTGCAGACTTCCGTTTTGCTTTGGTAACTCACTGACTTTTTCTAAGCGTTTCATTTCGTTAACCTCATGGGCTGTTTCGGGTCGTAGTTTTTGGATACAGATCACCTTTCGATCCGGACGCTGACACTGTCACTTTCCATTCTTCGTGTGTATCTGATTGATTCCTTACTTGTTCGGTCCTTATGTTCGCACGCTTCCATTGCACTGGGTTTTTTAATATTTGCGCGTTATAATATAAGATGTTGCCGTTCCCCTATGAAAACAGCCTTGCATCTTGCTCCTGATTGTTCGTGTTCTCACTATCATTTGTGGGTGGAAGCGGAACTAGGCACAACAGTGCCCGCTATGTACTGCGTCGTACGCTGGCTTACTTCATCACCATCTTACTGTGTCCTGGTTGTCATCCTTGTACGGGTTACGAACTGGCTTGATTATGAAATGTGTTGATCGTTTTGAGAAAGTTCATCGCAATCCGATTCAGATAACCACCCATAAAGGTGCTAAACGGTCTATTGTTCCATTGGAACTGTTTACAGTGGCGCTCATTTGCTGGATTCGAATTCATGGTTTGCTTCTTATGCGTCGGCGACTTAAGCAGCCAAGCCTTGCCTGACGCCGACTGACTACCATGACTGATTACTAGCTGCGATATGTCGGGACTCATACTCTACTACCATTCATGCAGAAGATAAAGCTGTTCGAAGAAATACAACCCTTTTCGGTCCGCTCCGTTTCGGAGCTTAAGACTGTTGTCCCCCTTCTTGATCGTCTACGTCTCCAAGGATCTATTGTTGTCCACTTGAGACTACGAACTAACCTCGTTCGTCTACACCGGCTATCACGTAACTCTGCCAGCTTATATTCACTGGGCCATTCTGCTTCTGCTGTCCACCGATTTTTGACCGCATGATATCTCGCTTGCTTCTCACATGGGCACCAATTCTCAACTACGTTGTAGATGGGCCTCATTTTTCGGCTTTAACCCGGTTTTTATTTTCAGTTCCGTCACCAATTAAGCAATCAGATGATGCATTACATTCATCCTTCTTGTGCTTGTTTGCATTGCACTGGAATTTTGTTCCTTCACTTTTACTCCACAATAACTGTATACCTGTGTATCCATGTTGGAGTGATGTGGCTAAAAAGGCCCATTTCTTATCGATCTCGGTGTTCCACCTCAACTTTTTATGCCTTCAACCTCTTTGTGCACTTGCTAGAACCGCACACCAGACATGGACTTCGACCCATTAACCACACTATCAATATGGCCGGATTTGAATACAATATGGATCTGGGAGGCTTGTATCCTTACGAACAGTTCACCAGTGAGTTTATTAGCAAGATTCTTTCTTGGTCAATCGCCTTCTTGTATTGCCGGCATAGTTAGTCCCACCTTTCTCGTGTCCTGTTCTCTTTAGTCGTTTTATTGACCTACAATCGATTCGACCATGCTTGTCAAACTCTGGAGCGTCTACTTGGTGTGCCATACCTACATTCGGTCGTGGTCGTGTGGAATCACCCAATCGGCCCTTCGCTGGACTTGAAGTGGCCTCAACTACATGTTCCAGTCAAGGTATGCTTCTAATTCATCTAACCGCCATATGTCTCACCTTTTGTTCGTCAGTGGCTCCGGAGGGAGAGGCGTTTCTACTCTGAAGCTGGTATCTCCTTGGTTGTTTGATCACCCTCTGTAACTGACCAGCTGATTCAAAACATCCGAAATCTGTGTCGAAAGTTCACTCGTGTTCAAAACACAATTATCGAAGGAATTGATTCTGTTGACACATTAGGTAGTGCTGCAATTCTGCACGCTCTGTGCTACTGCGGCGTTACCATTTCTTCACGAAAAGGCGACATCAGTGCACACCAACGCGCAGTGCTCTGCAACGACCAATGTCGCTTCACTGTCTGTCCGGTGTTCTTACTGGAAGTGAAAGAAGGTACTGGAATCTGACCGACTCGCTCTTGCTTTGCACGCTTACCACAATGGGATATACTATCTCTCGACCACTGATACTCGATGAATCAGTGGGGGGGGGTACTTTTGGCACGGCATGGACCCGCACTCGGGAAGCGCGTCGTTTAGGTCCCACTGCCTTGTAAACTTGCACCTGAGATGACTCCTTTAACTTTAAAATCCTAACCGGAATTCATGATCACCGGCCATTTATTGATTGATACAACCGCCTGCTTTATCGGATCGAAATACTAACTCCGCGTCCTGTCTACTGGGATGTGTTGTCTCCTGCGATCAGTTGCTGTATGGCTCAATAACTAGATATCTTATAGATTCAGCCTCGATTTCTTTTCGGGTGATCAAACCTCAAAGTCCTCTAGTTTGGAACTTCATCCATGGGAGACAACGGCTGTTAGACTATAAGTTCCTCCGCTGAGATAGGTCACGAGTTCCACATTCTCTTTAATACTGCAAGGGCTCAACTCTCGTTCACTACCTCAAACCAGCCGCCCTCCTTTTCCAACATGGTGCATGCTCACAAAAACCCACCGGTCGACTGATTAAGTAACTTAATCATCTGATGCAATCAGAGGTCATACACAACTTAAGTCGTCATCTCGATAACTCCGGCTGAGTTCTGAGAATTCAGTTAGTTCACTAAACTTAGCGATTCGAATGCTATGCGCCTTTTCATTTCGTTAATTACACTAATGGTCAGAATCTTTCAAGCTTTCAGTCTTTTTGTACATGTGAGTTATTACATCTCGCCGGTGGTCAATGGTTCGAATCTGCGTTCAATTCAGTTTAGTTGACCAACGATGATCGAAACATCGAAGTACGGTGGATCCAGTTGCCACGCCCACATTGTATATATATATATATATATATATATATATATATATATATATATATATATATATATATATATATATATATATATATATATATATATATATATATATATATATATATGGTTCGCAGCATTCGGTCTCGCATTTACCTGTCACTGTGGCCAGCCACAGGACGCCTGCGTCTACAGGGGGACCATGGGTGGCTTACGCTGCACCACCCACAGCTCCAACCGCACACCCCATATTCAATGTAAACCCGAAGGAATAAGACCGTGAGGCATGCGGATTGGGGCTACGTTTCATCAACGGAGCCGGCCCACACTCCTTCACAGGCAAACACAAGCACGCCGTAGTTGGGAATCAAACGCACACAAGACGGTGGCTGGACCATAGTCCGCTCCACACTGAGTGCATGAAACCACTCTTCGAGCCTAACACGACCACAGGGCCCGTGCATCCCGTCCCCTCCAGCAACGACCAACTGTCTCCTGCAGCCAGTATGAACGATGTAGTGGGTAATAGACAGGTAGGCACCTTGTCAACATGCACATCAAGCGCAGCCGCACCGGGGATATCAAGCAACAACCATTCACATTAAACGACAAGCTGAAATAAAATAAATCCAATAATGCACACAGATACGGTGGCATAACTCTTCGCTAAATTACCGTATGAAGTAAGTTTGTTAGCAACGAATCCGCGATAAGTAAGGAATGTCCACAAGTTACTTGCAACTGCTACAAACGCAACAAAATTACCGAAGTTAAGCGCAATTAGCGTAAGCAACGTGCCCAGTTAATAGAACATTATTCAGGCAGGCGGAACAAACCAAATAAAGTGGAATGAAATTTATCCAGCTTAAAAAGGCGCTAGTTTGAGTGTATGTTGGTTTAGCCCATCTGTGGTGAAGAGGCATCAAGAATGCAACATTAGCCTCAGCATGGGGCACAAACTACGTACCCCCCGGATTCAAACCCCAGGTCTGTAGCTCACATGTCGGCGCGCAAACCACCGGGGCAATCTACGTATCCCGCCATATATATATATATATATATATATATATATATATATAATGATTACCTTCCTTTGTGTTCCATGTTTTTTTGATGGCTCCATACCTATTCGTAGGCTGTTGCAAATATATATATACCCGCCACATATACATTTATATATATAAATATATTTGCAACAGCCTACGAATAGGCATGGAGCCATCAAAATCCTTGGAACTCAAAGGAAGGTAAAGATATCATCTTAAAAAACGACACAACATGGATGAGTTTATGGTTTCGTCATAGTGCGAGGTGCTACCCGGTTACCCAAGCCGAAGTAGCGTGTTGACTTAGGGGACACCACCCCGAGCTTTTGACCGAATGCCCTGCCCGCAAGGCAGCGGGGCGAATTTAGGGAATCGCGCCCATTGGGAGGTGGTGACTGGTTGTCCAGTTCATTTGCCTTTCGTTTGTCATACAGGGGCCCAACGCTGCCCACAATTTCAGCATTAATTTGCTGGAATACAATGCTTCCCCAGTATGAAGTAAGGCGCATTGACTTTTATTTAGTGGCGAGTCACATCCACCACGTCACAGTGTTGTTAAACGGACATGTGTAGCCTTTTATTGGGAGGTAGCTTGCCAGGCGAAAACCCACCACGTCCTGGAATACTGCCGCCGAACGATTTTCTGGAACGACATGATCCCGAACCACCCAGCTGGCATCACGAGGAGGTTGTTCGGCAAGCCAGCCGGTAGTATAGTGGGGTTGGATGTACATAGAATGTGGAGAAAATGAAAGCGAGACGGAAATGCGTTAGACTAATCAGAACGGAACGAAAATTAACAACCAGATGAAAGGAGCCGAATGCAGGGACGCCACTGACTTCGTGCTTGAGCCATGTCGGACGCTGTCTCCTACCATTGGTTTGGACCGTCTGGAAGCCCCTATCCAGGAAGTCGACACCCACCAGCCTGACCAATTCTCTCAGTTAATTTCTTCAAGGTTCTATGCCATGCCATTGACTGGCCACCGGGCGCTTTCGTCCAACTTGGTGCGGCCACAGCGACCAACGGGCATACGGAAGACATGGCCTAGCCAACGCAAGCGACTAAGATTTATCAAACACTCAAGGGGGGCACCAGAAGGCTTCTGGCCAAAAACCAACCGGCGGACCTCGACGTTGCTCACCCAATGTTCCTACCAAACATGAGCGATACTTCTAAAGCACCGGTGTTCAAACACGTCCATGCATTTAATGTCTTCACTACGAACTGTCCAGGTCTCTGACCCATACACTAACATTGATTTTATCGCAGCGTTATGCAACCTGCCTTTCACAGACAAGCTATGATATCCCGCCGTCTCCATAGATGCTTGATCCTCTTGGAAGCCACATGGGCCTTGCTGATACGCTGGCCAGTGGCCGAGTGGTCTGCACGTTTGGTTTGGAATCATAAAGTCACCGGTTCGAATCCGCATAGGGGTGGGCGTCCTCGCAGTATACTCAGTCCGCGCGCGCGACTGGTGGTGGTCGCGCGGCAGCGAAGCGCAGTTACGGCGTACAGCTGACACATTAATTTTATTATTATTATCATTATTATTATTATTCAATGCACGTTAACTGAGGGTGGGAATCACAACTCAGCTAATATGCCACAATACAAAAAGATAAACGACTGAAAAATTACACTGCAAAAAAGAATTCCAAGCAAGTATTGTGATGTATAAATATTATATTATGCCTTTTGCATGAGATCGGGATTGGATGGGTAATTTAAGGAGGAGAGGAATGGACAAAGAAACTCACAACACAAGCACTACTGAGGCTGGTCTACACCATCTCAGCAAATGTGTCCAACCAAACGTATTCATCGGCCTCAGTACCCCAGCCAGGCAGTCGGGATGCACCAACCGACGCCAATGTCGAGTGACGGTTTTCATTTCCCTCGACCAAGTCATCGCTTGGCCTTCCCTCCTCCTCTTCCAACCGCATCTCCAGCGCGCGAACAATGCACATCGTGGGAGTCGGAGTGCTTGCATGCGCAACACGTGGCCAGACATCGGGGCTTTGTGTGTGATATATTGGTGCTGAGGGGTTCCCTGGCTCTTCCCGTAACAAATACGTGACGCCGAACACGCTCATTGCTCACGCGGTGCTCCCACCAGACATAAGCTAAGCTGCGAAGGCAGCGACGATCAAACGTGACGAGCCCCTTTATGTATGTCGACCTGATGGGCCAGGTTTCACAACCGTATAGGAGGGTTGAACGGACGGCTGCACTCTGAACTCTGCCCTTCAGGGCGGGAGTGTTGTCACATCTGCACCACAGGTGGCAGAGATTGGCAAAAGCACCTCGAGCTTTTGCTATACTGTTCGTAACCACAGCTTCGATCCCACAGGTGCTAATGTAGCTGCCCAGGTACTTGAATTCCTAAACGACTTCTAGCTGAACACCACCAAGCGTTAGTGCAGGGGTTGGTCCCTGCGAATCTTGCAGAAGGACTTTGCATTTCGATGGATCAAAGCATAGCTCAAAACAATTGACAGTCAGTGCTAATCGATCCAGTGTTGCTTGGCATGTTTGGAATCCGTCACAGATTAGGGCACTATCGTCCGCGTACTCCAAGTCAAGAAGTCGCTCACCAGGAAGTAGCTCCACACCTTCTAGATCGTGTCCAGCAAATGTGCTTGGCATGACTTCGTCAGCGGCGAACTTAAAGAGGAAAGGTGACAGCGGGCAACCTTGTCTCACACCGCTGGTGATATTG